AGCAGCCAATTAAAGAGCTGCCCTCCTGGAATGGGTCCGTGGGATGAGGTGAGGCGAAAGGGAGAGGCCAAATACTGACCTTGCATTCATGCAATCATGCAATCATTCATTCATTCATTCAACAAATATTTACAGAAGCCCTTGTATGTGCCAGGTGCTTTAGGCCCTTTTCATCATAAGCTCTCCAGTTCATGTTTCCATGAACATGTAAGTTGTTTTGATTACATTTTTTAATGCAACACAAACGCAGCATCATTACCTGAATCCACACTTGTAAATACACTGAGCAACTAGCAAGAACCACCCAACCTGAGAGGAAAGGGCAACCACTTATGCGAGTTGATACAATTGGGAGAAAAACAAACTTGTTCACTGGGGGAGAGGGGCTAGGACAGCCAGGTTGCAAGCTGACTGGGAGAAGACAATGGGAAGAGTGGCTAAGTCACAGCACCCCCTCTACCCCCACCAGATGCCACTGAGCCAGGGCTGCCTGCTGAGTTTGAAAGTTAACTCTGAGGGCGGTGGTCCCCGAGCTCCCGGACCCTACAACAGAGTAAAGAGTAGGAAGGAGAGGACAGGGAGGAACAAGGTCTCAATGCATTAACCCACCCCAGCCGAGGTTAAGCCCTAAATAGGCGGCTTAACTAGTAGGTGAGCTATATGGCCTGTGACCAAAATTGCAACCTGATTTACTGCCTGTCATTGCAGGGTCTATCCTTGTTTTCAAGAGGACCTTGAAACAGACACATACTCTCTCACCTCAAGCCATTTTGAAATGACACATTAACGATTACTTAACACCCCAGCAAGGATTATTTGACAGTTAACCTGAGAAAAGGTAAAGCACCAGTGAGGGCTGAGAACTCACCCAGGAGAGAAGGTGCCCGAGAGAAGAAGAGGGAAGCAAGTGGGGAGACCCTCCACACAAACGTCACCTAATTCAAAAGGAGTTTAGGGCCAGCCCTGCTTGTGCCCATAGAACCAATAAGGATTTGCAACCAGTTAAGTGATGAACTAACAGTCACCTGGGAAATACAAGCCTGGTACATTATTTGCATTAGGAAGAGGGAATGCAAGAGAGGGGAGGCGGGGGAAGGGCAGAGAAGAGAGGAGCTGGAGCTGGGATGCAACAAGGGACTGAAGGTGCCCCACGCAATTGGTGTGTTTTGCTTTCTGGAACTCAACATAATAACTATTTGTAGTTTGTGCATGTCTGACCAAGCCAAGGATGAAACCCGTGAGGACGTGTATCTATTTCAGAACTCTGGGGCCCGACTCAGTGCCCTGTACGCCACAGCGTTGAGCTATGATTGTAAACAAGCAGCTGCAGAGAAGAGAGTAACAGTTGGGTGAGAAGTTGGCTACTCTGTAAGTTCACCTAAGGACAGCCCCACCTTTTAGTTTGTTTTGAAAACAGCTCTCCTTTCACTTAAAGTTGTGAAATGGCAACAATAATGCACATTCCCGTGTTTTAAAGTCTTGGCCCAGAGCCTGGAACACGCAAATTGGTACAATCTCTCTAGGGGGGCAAGGTATGTTTTTACCCAATTTTACAAATGCAAATACAGGCAGGGTTCTTTGTTGTAAACAACCCAAATATACATCAATAGGAAACTCTTTAAATAAGTGATGGTGTATCCACACAGTGAAACATGGCTGCCTGGGTTGGCTGGAGCGTTGTCCCAGACACTAAAAGGTTTCGGGTTCGGTCCCGGGTCAGAGCACATATTTAGGCTTTGGATTCAAGCCCAGGTCAGGGTTTCTAAGGGAGGCCAACATCCTTTACCCCTTCCTCTCCCTAAAAATCAATTAAAATGTTTTTAAAAAGTAAGAATGAGGAAGCTCTCTAAAAATTAATGTCGAAAGATCTCAAAATCATACTGTTAAGTGAGAAAGCAAGCAAGAACAAGGTAATAGTCTACTAAAAAGTGCGAGTATAAAAATCTATATTCACAGTTGTTAAAATTGAATTTAAAAAACACAAAACAAAATCCTCCAGAAGGATATAAGGACAATGGTTGCCTAGGATAGGGTGTGATGATGGTGGGAACTGAGCAAATGGGAGACAAAAACGCCGGAAAGAGTTTTCACTAATACTTTTTCATAATCTTTAGTTTTCCAACCATGAGGATGTATTTTTAAGCAAACACTTAGACAGCTCTTTGTCAGCCACTGTTGCAAGCCATTTAGAAGTAGTAACTCGTTCATTATAATTGCTGTCTCTTAGATGCCTTTTTGAGTCTTCCAAAATAATGTGATCTCTCGGCACTTTGAAAATCTATTTTCTTTTACTTCTATGAGCTACATCACATTCTAGATTTTGTTGTAATCGCTGCATGTTTTTAATATGTAAAACATAAATGATAATGCATATTAGATGTATATGTAAGTATACTTACCTCCTGGATAAAACATTGTCTATAGCGATAATGACAGGTTACAAGGTTCTTCCTGAGAACTTGGGTTGGGAGAGGAAAGTGTGTGCTCTGAGACCAAGGTGCAGGCTAATGTGTGCTCAGCAGGGATGGCTGACACAGGCGGTGGACGGAAAGGGAGAGGCACCAGCTCGCCTGGCCTCTGCCCAAGCTGCCCCCTCTGCCGGCAACTCCCCCTCCCTCCGCCCCTCCAGGTGTGGGTCGGGGAAGCCCTCTCTGACCTCCCTGCTCGGTCAAACCTCCGGACAGCATCTGGACCTCTTGGCACTGGGTCTGCGCCAGGAGCTGAGGCCTGCCTCCTGGTCCGGCCTGCAGCTCCAGGGAGGGAAGGGGCTGTGACGTTGCTCAGGTTGTGGCCCCAGAACCCAGCACAGTGCCTGGAACAGAGGAGGCCCCAGTGCGCTTTTGAATGAATGAAAGGAGAATGCTTCCTGGAGAGAGGCAGAAGGTGGTGAGCTTCAGGAGGAGGAGGAGGCAAAGGGGGCCTCTCCAGAGGAAAGCCGCTGAGTGGCGGACTCCACTGATTGTACATCACACACCCTTCCACACTAGTTGTGCACGTGCACCTGTAAGTATAGATGCGGCTTTTTAAAATTCTTCCCTTTCACACGAATAGGTTATTACATTTTTATTTATCGGTGGGTGAGGTCTCTTTGCTTTTTCTCATTTTCACTTTCCCAAGAGTTTCTTACTTCCCTTAAAATCAGGATGGTTTCTCTGGACTTCCCTGGACTTTTCTAAGAAACCGTGGCTCTAAGTTCCTCACACAAACATTCTGCCTTCTTTCCCCAAGACTCGCTCAGACGTGTCGACTTCCCCAAAGCGTCAGGCACAGTCTGATTTCACGGCTTGCGGCTTCCATTGTCAGTCCCTGCGGCAAAGCCACTGAGCGGATACTCAGTCTCTCCCTACGGGTTTCACTTGGGGCAGTATGGGGGGCTTCGGCTTTAAGGTCGCCGGAAGGGGAGCGCCCGGCCCTCTGAGGGACCCCGCACCCCGCACCCCGCAGCCTCACACCCCCAGCTCTCAGCTCCCGGCGGGAAGGCGCGCGCGGCGCCGGGCCTAGCGGTCACGTGGGCCAGCCGTGGCCAATGGGGAGCGAGCACGGCCGGCGGCGGTCTCGGGCGCTGCCGCGGCGCTCGGGGCTCCCGCGAGACCCGGAAGGGAGCGTGAGACCCCCCCCCCCCAAGGAAGACGGGGGACCCTCGAGGGGACCCCGATTACGGAATGCACCGCCGGGCGCCTCCTGTCCCCCAGCTTTGGCGTTCTCGACGCCTAAATAACTCCGTGCCCCGCTCACGCCCCCCCCCTTTCAGCCTGCACACCCCCCTTTCTTCGGGGAGATCGGGGAACGCGAGCGGCCTCCGGGGCAGGAATGGGAGGCGGAGGACCCGCCAGACTAAGATGCCGACACAGGAAAGATGGGACCCGCGCAGCACAAGGAGTTCTAGGCACGAAAACACACGTGTGGCTTTTCAACAATTTGTCCCGCGTCCCGCGACGTTTTAAAAAAAGTCCCGATTTTTGGAAAGATTCTTAAATCGGGACTTTTTTAAACGCCGCGGGACAAATTGTTAAAAATCGTGACGTCTGGTCACCTTAGCATAAGCCAACGGTCACTTCTTCACCCTGTTTCTCCTTCTGAGTGAAACTAACGGGGAGAGCGATTGGGGTAAACGTGGCAACCGCCCCCGGCCCCTCGAGAGGTTCCGTCAGCTTTGCAGGAATCTGAGGATCAGCGGTGTAGTGAGTGTGAGACCCCGGGAAAGGTTTACAGTAAATTGTGTTCTAGAATAGGAGTGACTGCACAACTTTGTGAATATACTAAAAACTATTGAGTCGTGCGCTTTAAAAGGCTGCACATTTTATCGTCGATGAATTACGTCTCAATTAAAAACATGTTGACTGGCGACAGAGCCTCGGGCTTTGAGAATTGTCACCTGCGCAGATGAAAGTTCGGCATTTAAGTCCATTGAGTTCTTTCTGGAAAATGGACTCCGTATTTGACATGGATTAGTTTTAATACCTTTCATGTGCCTAGCATATTTTAATCCAAAAGTCTAAAAACACATACATTTGACACCAACACTTGAATGCTGTTCAAAACATAAGACTTAGTTTGCCACCAGTCGGAGACATTTAGGAATTATACATTTTTTAAGACAAAATTTCAAGTTTATCTTTCCTTCAATTCTTTCCTGTCCTGGCAAATCAAGAAGGCATCTAATCTGAATTTTTCCTACCTTAACAATGCAGACATCAGCAGGTCAAGTTTAAAGACAAGTTTTTCTAAAAAGATAAACTTGATCAATTTAAATTGCTTTGGGGTCATCTTAATTAGTTGTCACCTCAATGATTCAGGGCTAACAGAAACTTAAAAAATCAATACCATGGAGCAAAGAGCGAAGGCAGTTTAGCACATAGAACTTTGATGAACAGGTTTACCACTGTCTTCTTACAGTTAATGTTTAAGCGATCTATTTAATGCCCCAATTTGTGTCCTCAATACCAAGAAAAATGCATGCTAAGTAGAATATTTCTTTTGGTTTAATATAAATATCTTACCTGGGTTCCTTGACATGGCTGCAAGTGGCTGGCTGCTGGCAAGTCTGGTCACGCATTCCTTCTGAAAACTGTATTTCACACGCGGCGATTTGCAACAATTTGTTACTTTGGGAGAGGGATTCAGTTCTTTAGGTTCACAAACAATGGCATTCGTTTTTTTCTTCTTCATGTTTCTCCCCTGTTGGAAAATAGATTTTCAGAGGATTTCTCCCACTTCTCAGAATATATTTGGTATGTTATACGAATATTGACGTTCTAACAATACAAGCAGCTCTGTTCCATGTATAAAAGGGCTATGGGGGCACATCCCGGTGGGGGGGGCGTGCAGGAGGCAGCTGGTCGATGTTTCTCTCTCATAGACATTTCTAGCTCTCTATCCCTCTCCCTTCCTCCCTAAAAAAAATCAATAAAATATATATTTTTAATAATAATAATAATAAAAGGGGGGGGGGCTATGGATTTGGGTGAAAGACGGAACAGGGTGATCTCTGAGGTCTTTTTCAACCTAAATAAACATCTCTCTGTGCTGGGTGGCCTTTAGAGCTGCAACACCATCCCACATCCTCATCTCCCAGCAGTTTTTCTTCGTCTTTCAAAAGCCACGTTCCCTCACCGGAAGTCTACATCCATAAACACAGATAAAGAGAACCAGAAATGGCGTTATCTGGACGACGCCCTTATCAGCTGATCTACCCTTCCAGGGCCCTTAATTCTCTTGACTTTAGGCTTTGCCGCAGAGTTCAACTTTATATTTTACCTTCTAAATTAAGGTGACCAGACGTCCCGCTTTTGGCGGGATAGTCCCGATTTTTTACGATTTGTCCCTCGTCCCGCGGCGTTTAAAAGATCTTTCCCAAAATCCGGACTAATCTTTCCCAAAATCGGGACTTTTTTTTAAAACGCCGCCAGACGCGGGACAAATTGTTAAAAATCGGGACTGTCTCACCATATTCTAAATCTACCGTAAGCAGTTACTGGAAATAAAAGAAATGGATGCGAGGCCGGATCATAAAGAACAACTGAAGACGGTAGCAGGGGAGGGTTTGAGGAGCCTCAGATCAGTGCTGGCCAATAAAAATACATGAATCAGCCCTAGCTGGTTTGGCTGGGTGGATAGAACTTTGGCCTGTGGACTGAAGGGTCCCAGGTTTGATTCTGGTCAAGGACATTTGCAGGGTTTACAGGCTCAATCCCAGGGAGGGGGTGTGCAGGAGGCAGCCGATCAATCATTATCTCTCATCAATGGTTTTTCTATCTCTCTTCCCCTCTCCCTTTTGCTCTGAAATCAATAAAGATATATTTTTTTTACAAAAGCAAATGAACCACATGTGTAATTTTAACTTTTCTAGTAGCTACATTTAAAAAAGCAAAAGAAAGGCATCATTCATTTCAATAATACAGTGTTTTACCCAAATATATCCCAAAATCAATCCAAAAGTCATTTCAACAGTAATCAATATAAACATTATTAATGAAATATCTTATATTCTCATTAAAGTAAGTCTGCAAATTCTCATGTGTATTTTACACTTACACTACATGTCCATTTGGATTGGCCACATTTCAGATGCTCGGTAGCTACCTGTGGCTAGTGACTGCTGTATTCGATAGTATATAAGGTAAGGCTGTACCTCAGCTTTGGAGGAAGAAGCAAGAATTAAAAAGATTGAGAGAAAGGCAATAAGCAGCTATCCTCAGCTATACAAGCCAAGACAAGGGAAATCCTCAGGTAGAATTCTGACTCATCATTTTCCAAATGTGCCACATTTTCCAGTGCAGTATGCTACCTCAATATTTTGATTATTGCAATTTGGGCCAGATGAGGGGAAAGAGGGAACTGTGGGATGAAGGGTTGTGAGTTTCTTGGCATTGTTGATGCCTTGGACAGCCTGGCATTTTAACTATACTCATCAGGCACCTTTCTGGCCTTAATTTGATTTTTCAAGCAAACTTTCCATTAGGAAAAGGGGATGCTCTCCAGCTAATGCATCGGAGCCAGATCAGCCCTGAAAAAAATTATTAAATTACTAAGTGGGCAAAGGTGATAATTAAAATGCAATTACCAGGTGAAGTTCTTATCTAAAAGAGTCAGCTGACAGCTTTACCCATCAGCCCATATGAAACTGTCACTTTGTACTATCCAGATGGCATTGCTAGATAACAGAATAGAAAATAGCTAACCACGGCCTTTTAAAATAAATGATCGAGAAGGTTGGACTTGATTTTCCCCAAATAGGTTTTTATTATAATTTTCCCAAACAATTCTGCCGAATGTTAAGAGGTATTTATTGAAAAAATAATCAATGCTAATTATATTTTTCACCTAAAATTTATTTTTATTTTTTAATCTTTATTGTTGAAAGTATTGATTTTTCTATCTCTCTCTCCCTCTCTTCCTCTATGAAATCAATAAAAATATATCTATATGTATATATTTTTAAAGGAAGTATTACGTATGTTCCCTTTTTCCCACATTGACCTCAGGCCCTCACCACCCTATTGTCTCTGTCCATGGGTTTGCATATATGCATGCAAGTTTTTAGTTGATCTCTTCCCACCCACCTACCCTTTGCTGCCTTCTCTCTAAGGTTTGAAAGTCTTTCCTATGCTTATATGTCTCTAGATCTATTTTGTTTATTTGTATATTATTCAGTTTATTATTTCATTAGATTTCACATATAAGTGAGATCATGTGATACTTGTCTTTCTCTGACTGGCTTATTTCACTTAACATAATACTCTCCATGCTTTCTCCGAGGGTAAGAAATCCTTCTTTTTACTGCTGCTTAATATTCATTGGTAAAAATATACCACACCTTTTTTATCCACTCATCTATTGATGGGCACCTGGGCTGTTTCCAGACCTTAGCTATTGTAAATTGTGCTGCTATAAACCTAGGGGTGCATACGTTCTTTCTGATTGGTGTTTCTGGTTTCTTAAAATATATTCCTAGGAGTGAGATCACTGGGTCAAATGGCAGTTCCATTTTTAATTTTTTATAGGAAATTCCATACTGTTTTCCACAGAGGCTGCACCAGTCTGCATTTCCACAGCCACCTAAAATTTATTTTTAAATATATGTACTAAAATATTTCTTTATGTGATTGTTAATTGCTAGTATTATTGGATATTTGCCTTTAGGAAATGGTGGGCCTACCTGAAAACACCAAGAAACCATAGGGTCAGGGAAAATGATAATGGGTTTGCACGTGGAAGCCTAAGTAACCATTGAGCCATGGTCTATTTAACAATCATTGGTTTCCATTAGTTATCCTGTCTTTTTGTTGTTGTTAACCCTTACCTGAGGATATTTTTCCCATTGATTTTTTAGAAAGAGTGGAAGGGAAGGGGGGAGAGAAACATATATGTGAGAGAAACATATGTGTGAGAGAACACATCGACTAGTTATTCCCAAGTACCAGGAATAACTTGGGGCCAGGAATGGAGCCTGCAACTGAGGTATGTGCCCTTGACTGAAATTGAACCCAAGACCTTTCAGACCACAGGCGGATGCTCTAACCACTGAGAAAACCGGCAAGGACTGTTATCTTGTCTTAATGTTTCAATATATAGACGGTATTTTTCACTTAACAAAGTTATTTATATCTATTTGTTTGGAGGTTCCTCTCATATAAAGTTTATAATATTTGAGTGAAGTTTTTATCATCTCTTACAGCAATTAATCTATAGACTCTATTGCACTGTCTATGTGAACTGCTGAATCTTGGCCTTCCAAAGATGTCCACATCCTAATCCCAGGATTTAGGAATATTTTACCTTGTGGGGCAAAATAGGCGTGCAGATGTGATTAAGTTAAGGCTGTGGAAGCAGAGCTTCTCCTGGATTATCTGGGCCCAACCTCATCATATGTGTCCTTAGAAGAGGGAAGCAAGAGGGTCAGACTCAGACAGAGGGTAACAGGGGAAGTAAAGGTCAAAGTGATGTGAGAAAGGCCCTGTGAGTCAAGGAATGCAGGCAACCTGAAGCCAGAAAAGGCAAGGAAACTGAGGGATGCAACCCTGCCAACCCATTTTAGCCTTCTGACCTCTAGAACTGTATGATAATACATTTGGGTTGTTTTAGGTCCCTCAGTCTGTTGTAATTTGTTACAGCAATAATAGAAAATATATACACTATATTAATCTGAGTACGTAAATGTATTCACTGTAAAATAAATTTGTAGATAGATAAGAATCCGTATTATTGTACTAGAGGCCTGGTGTATGAAATTCATGGGGGTGAGGGTCCCTCAGCCCGCCCTGTGCCCTCTCACAATCTGGGACCCCTCGCTTATATGCTTAGTTAGAGGGGTGGTGGGTGTTATGAGAATAGATCATGGGGAGTGGACCTCATTGGGCTAGGTAGTATGAAGGGCTCATCTAGAAATGATGTTTAAGCTGAGACATTAGGATGACTTGGAATTGGCCGGGAGGGAAGTCGAGGAAGTGAAAGAGCATCTCAGAGCTGGAACACTGAGTTCCAAAGCTCAACTCAGTATGGAATTCAAGGCATTTGAAGAACAAAAATAACAGCGAAGGCCTTCTAATTCAAGACAGCTGAGATTTTATCTAAATAAAATAAAATAAATAACAAGCAGGAAAAGAAAAACAAGAAACACAGATTCCATCTTTGCTGCACTAGGAGTCCCTCCAGACCACAATGCACGAAAATAGGAAATGACGGAGGATGGTAAAGAGCTCAGGAGGCACAGGAAGGCCAAGCCTACGTGCGCAGAGGAGAAGCCACGGAGAAGCCAGGCAGCCACACCGGGGACTCCGGAGCAGGGGCAGCGCAGAGGAAAGCCGGGGCAGTGGGAAGCGAGGAGTGCATTGAATAGGGGGGTTTGTCTGAAAAGCTGCTTATTAAGTGGTCAGATCCTCCCCTCCCCAACCCACCTGATCAAGCTACTACATCTCCCTCCATTGGAAATAGGAAAAGTCACCTCTGGAGAAAGTAAATCAAAGGAGTTCTAAATGTGGTGATGCCAGGCGTAGATCAGAGTGGGAGTGAGATATCTTACTGAAAAGAGCGTAAATCTAAAATGGAAAATGCATCCCCCCTCTCCCCTGCCCCCAGGCCTCTTATGCTGCTCAGTTACAGAACGCCGAAGGCAGTCTGCTCTCTAGCAGAAAATAGGGGGCACTTCTCAGGAGAAAATGAACCATGCC